CCTGCCTCCCTGGTACTCATACCTACAGTGGCCAGAGCCTCTCCAGGGTGGGGGTTCACTCTGAGGATACCGCCCTTTTACAACAGGGAGACTGAGGACGGCCTTGGGGGAGTGGCCAAGGGCCACTCCGCCCCCTCCCCCACGCCCCAGGTGATGCGTCCTGGCTTTCCCAGCCTTGGGCTCCTCTCCTAGAGCAGTCTCTGGAGTTCGCGGTGTGTGTGTGTGTGTGTGTGTGTGTGTGTGTACATGTACACATGTGCATGTTGCTTGGAGTAGTGATAATGATCATCCTGATAACAGCATTTGCGGATGGCTCATTCCTGCTCCCAACACTCGGGATGCAGTAACTCATTTGACTCCGCGTGGTAAATGCCACTGTTGTCCACGTTTAACAAGCAGCAAACTGAGGCTCAGGAAGGTGGAGTGACTTGCTCAAGGTCATGCGCTAGTAAATGGTGGGGCGGGGCTTTGAACCCAGGCAGTCTTTGACGGGAAACCTGGTCCATCACTCTCTCTGAGCCTCAGTTTCCCCATATGTAAAATGAGCACGAAGGGCGCGTAAAGCCTCCCTCGCTGGTGACTGGGAGGGTGAAGCAGCGCAGTGCTGGGCAGACAGGGAGGCGGGACTTGCGGAGTAGACTGCAGCTCCAGGGTGTGGCGCAGTGTGCGCTTTGCCGTCATCCTTGGGCTGGGGTCTCGGGCCCTTTGCGGCATGGCCTTGAACTAAACCTGGTTTGGAGCCCCATGTCCTTCTCCATCAAGCCAGGCAAAGCATACTTGCCTGGCACTGGTGCTGCCAGGGCCTCCTTCGCGGAATGGGGGTACCTGGTACATAGCATTCCCACCCTCTGGACTTGATTCTGCCCCTGGAATTAAAGCCAACTTCTTCCTCAGCCCTGGGTACATTCCCAGGGTGTCAGATGATTTTATTTTTTTTTGAGTTAATCCTCACCTGAGGATATTTTTTCATTGATTTTTAGACAGAGTGGAAGGGAGGGAGGGTGGGAGAGAGAGAGGGAGACAGAAAGAGAAAAACATCAATGTGACAGAGACACATTGTCTGGCTGCCCTCCCGAATGACCCTGACCAGGGCACAGGATTGAACCTGCAACCCAGGTACGTGCCCTTGACCGGAATCGAACCCATGATCCTTCGATCTGCAGGCCAACGCTCTAACCACTGAGCCAAGTCGGCCAGGGCAAATGGACAAGAGTGTGCATGGATTGCTGTAAACACCCAGTTTAAAACACCCTCGGCCTTGGGCAGCCCCCCCCCCCCCAGCACTTGGCTGAGGGCTGTGGCCACTTGGTTTTCCACTTGGTTCAGACCTGTCAGGGGCTAAGGGGTGTGAGAGTTACGGGGATGTGGCCCCCACCCCACATAGGCCCACTCCCAGCCCTACTGGAAAGCCTGATTCCTCAGTGGCCCCAACACCAAAGATGCGCTGTGACAGCAATGCTCCTGCCATGCCCTTTGCTTCTGACTTTAGAGCCTCAAGCCCCTCCTCACCTCTCTCCACCCCTCAGGCAGGGTCTGACATTTTTGCACCAACAGGTCAGGAATCAGAGAGAGAAACAGGTCAAGTGTTTACACATTTATTCATTCCTTCAGCAGACATTGATAGAGCAGCTACTGTATGGTGGGAACTGGAGCAAGGCCCTTGCTCACCTGGAGCTCAGTCTAGTGCTCAATCTGTACATGGGTAATGAAATACCATGGGCACATGCTGTGGCACCCCAGAGCAAGCAATACGCCAGGGCAGGGGCTTCCTTAGAGGAGGTGCAAACTAAGTTGAGCCTGACAGCAGTCCGAAGGGAGGTGTTCCTTACAGAACTGCTGATGTAGAAAGACCCACACATGGACAAGGTGTCTTGCAAGGAGAGGGTACAGGAAAGGGTTGGCCTTAGCATGGCATTCAGGCCCCGTGCCATGTGGTCCCTGCTGCCTCTGTGGTCCCTGTCCTGCCACTTCTAACCAGTGCAAAAAGACATCTGGATTGTCACTCAGGAGCCAGGGAGGTCCCAGATGCCAGGACTGGGTTTCCTGCCTCATTCCATTCCCCCATGCTTCACACAGGGCCCGCACACAGTAGGTGCTCATTGATGCTGCACCCAGTATCTTCCCCTTAGCGTCTCCTCTGAGGCTGAGCTCCCTCCTTTGTGCTCCTACAGCATTTTGTACACAAGTGAGAGCTCATGTTGGTACAGCACTTTGCAGTTGGCAAAGCACTTTTACATATGTTAATGTGTTTGATGACAATGGTCATCATCATCACCTGCCAGGAGACAGCACACCATTGTGGTTTAGGTGTGTGGGCTCTGCAGCTGGACTGCTTGGGTTCAAGTCCTGGCCCTACTACTTACTGGCTGTTTGACCCTGAACCAATTGCTTTACCTCTCTGTGCTTCAATTCCTCCATTTGTAAGATAAGAGTAACATATCTCATAGGAGCATTGAGAGGCTGCACACAGAGTAAGAATACTACCTACCACACGACCACCTCAATTATAATGGCAGCTATTATCATCCGTTTACATATAAGGATCTAGAAGGTCAAGATCAAGATCACCTAGCTGTCCAGTGGATCAGTTTTAATCTCTAAATCTTTAAACTTCAAATTTTGTATTTTGGGGTTATTTTACCACTCACCTCCAGTCCATCTCCCTTGTCACTCTGCCTCCTAATTTATCTGTTTATGCATCTGTCTGTCCTTTGCATTAGCATTATGCAGTCTCCCCAGTACCTGGAACAGTACCTGGCCACCAGAAAACACTTGAAAGCTGTGTTGAAGGAACAATGCACTCCATGCCCCAGGCATACTGCCCTGTGCTTCCACATGGATCATCTTGTCTGAGCCTCCGGGCCACTCTCTGTGTGGTTGTTTGTAAAAAGGCCCTCCTGAGAGGTCCTCCTCTGAGCAGGTGACCCTGCTCAGGTCCAAAAAGATGATTTATGAAGAGAGGCTGGTGTGCTTGTCTCAGTGATGGAGGGTGTGTATATGCATGAGGAGCAGGCTATTACCCCAGAGGAATGTTTGGGTACAAAGGGCAGACAGAGACTCTGCAAGGGGACCAGATAAAATACCCTAAAGCCAAGAGCAGGGTGATGCAGTGAGCTGGGTGCTGGGCTCAGCAAGTGTGCGTGTGACTTTGTGACTGACCGTGTGACTGCTGAAGGCAGGGACATAGCAGCTCCCAGATCTGGGGGTGGAAGGTGTTAACTGTGTGAATGCTGGTGTGGGTGGGGGGCCCTGGGCCTCAAACCGGGGGCTGAGGGAGGTAGTAAACATCAGGGTGACAGGGATGCTGCAGGCTTGTGGGAGTTTGTGTGACTTTGCAGTTCAACAAATTCAAATTCAGCCAACAGCAGTGCCTGTTATGTGCCAGGCAACCAGCTAGGAGGAGATATGAACCCAGCTTTCAGCTGAATGGTACTGGCTGTGGGGTTTGTGTTATCACCTCAAGGCTGGCTCGAAGCTGGATGCTTTCTGCCCTTTCTGGCATTACGTCCTCACAGTAACCCTACCCCACTTTGAGGCTAGACAGGGGAGCACAGAAAGGAAATGACTTGTCCAAGGTGACCCAGCTACTCAGCACCAGGGCAGGATCTGAATCGAGCTATAGAGCCTGAGTCTTCCTTCACCATCCTGTGCCAGGGTGCAAATGTCTGATCCTGGAAGAGCCGTCATGGACTCCTGGCCATGGTTCTAGCGACATCTCCTCAATTATGTGAAACCAGGCTACGCTCACTGCATTGGGCTCTGAGGTTGGTCACCCCTAGCTCTCCCTTTCCAGGGGCCAAATTCCCGGACAAAAGGGCTGCTGGGCTCTCGGAGACCCCTAAGCACCCCATCCTCAACTCCTGCCCTCCCCTCCTGAGCTCCTGCCACCCCCCTTTCCCTCCCGGTGCTGACTCTCAGCCAGAAGAGGAAAGGCTGTCTCCACCCACCTCTCGCACTCTCCCTTCTTTATAAAGGCCAGAACAGCTGAAGGGTGGCAACTTCTCCTCCTGCCGCCAGGAGCAGCCCGCCTGCCTCCCCTCGAGCCTGAAGCCAACCCCCGGGCTTCCCTGAGGGCTCTCCTCCGGACGCCAGCGCCCGTCTCTCATCCCCGAGATAGAGATATTTTGCACACACGCACACATACACACACGCGCAAAAAGGGTGGGGGAAAGCCCACCCTCCAGCCTCCTGCAAAGAGAAAGCCAGAGCAGCCGCAGCTCGCAGTCCATAGAGGACGCCCAGAGTGGCGAGCAGGCGGGCCGACTGACCGACGGACTCGCGCCACGTCCACCTGTCTGCTGCGTCCAGTCCACAGCTCAGCGGGCACGCCGCGCTCGGAGCAGCCGTGCCCGCCGCCCGGGCCCCAAGCCAGGGCGCACACGCTCCGGCCCCCCCACCCGGCCCGGGCGGGAGTTTGCACCTCTCGCTGCCTGGGTACTTGGGCCGCCGCTGCAAAGCCAACTTTGGAAAAAGTTTTCGGGGGAAGACTTTGGCTTTGAGGGGTCCAGCTCTACGCTTTCCGACTTCGGGGGCCTTCTCAGAAAATGTTGCAAAAAAGCTAAGCCAGCGGGCAGAGGAGAACGCCTTTAGCCGGCAGCGCGAGAAGACGAACCATCGACTGCCGCGTTCTTTTTCCTCTTGGAGGTTGGAGTCCCCTGGGCGCCCCCACACGGCTAGACACCTCGGCTGGTTCCCGACGCAGCCCCCAGGCCGTGGATGCTCGCTCTGGCTCGGGATCCGCCCAGGTAGTGGCCTCGGACCCTGGTCTCACGCCCAGGCCCTCCCCAGCCCCCCAACGACGGATCCGGGGCCGGGGGCGGTGGCACCCGGGGGCCATGCGGGTGAGCCGCGACAGCGGCTGCAGCGGCCTGAGCGCCTGATCTCCAAAGACCCCAGCCGAGCCCACCTCCCTCCCCAACCCCCACCCTCCACCCTGGCCGCGGGGGCGGCGCGCTCGGTCCACGAGTCCGGGGCCCATCGGGGCCGGGCCCGGAGTCGGCATGAATCGCTGCTGGGCGCTCTTCCTGTCTCTCTGCTGCTACCTGCGTCTGGTCAGCGCCGAGGTGAGTTGCGACGGCAGCGGTGGGGCTGGTTCGCTTCATTCATTACCCCCGCCCCCACCCCTTAGCTGCCCTCTTCCCTCCCTACAGTGAACTTTGGACCCTTGCAGCCCGTGGATTTGGTGCTGGGTGCTAGGTGACCTCCGAGGGCTGAAACGCGAGGTCCGGGAGGTGCCAGGCTCTAAGGGGAGGGGGCCAAGGTGGTTCTTTCCCAGGGGCGATCCCAGATCTCCCCGCCTTTAACCGTGGGGTGGGGGGAATTGGGGGGGTAGGTGTGTGTGGTCCTGTCCCCCACCTCTCAGAAACCGAATAAGCACCTTCCCTGTCGCATGGAGAGGGGGTGGGGTGGTGCCGAGGGTGCAGAAGGCAGCGCGTCCTCCCGAGCCCACTTCGGTTCCAGCTTAGGTTCTGTCTGGGACCCGGCTTGCAGGGAGGTGCGAGTTCGCGCACTGGTGGCAGCCACGCCAACCTTCGGCAGGGTTTTGCGTCCCACCCTAGCTCCCACTTCGGGTTAGGGTGGGCGCCCTAGGGCCCATGCAAGGCGTGCCCGGCCCCAGATCGAGGTCCGGGAGCAGCTTGTGTCTTGGGCGCGGAGGAAGAGGGGAGGGGGCGAAAGGCAGGTTTCGGGCACTCGGGATTGGGGAGGAGTGGGGGCTCTTAAGGAATCCAGCCCCAGGGCGGTGTGTTCCTGAGGCCCCGCCATACCTGCTCCCGCGCCCTGAGAGAGGAAGGCACCTCTCTTCCTCGCTGGCAGGGTGCGGAGCGCGCCGCCTGGAAAAGCCTAGCTGCAAGGGAGGTGGGGTATAGAAACGTCTGCCAGAGCTTTCAGGTCTGATCAGTCCCCCACCCCTCCCGGCCTCACGGAGCAGTGAGTTGGCAAGTGTACCCGGAATCCAGGTGGGAAAGGGGGCGGGGCAGGGAGGAGGCGCGAGGTGGAGGGGAGAAGAGGGCTGAGGGGAGAGCGGCGTGCTTAGGTCCGGTCCCGCTTCGGCTCCGCAGCGACCGGGAGTCCGCACCTCGCCCGCTCCCCGGAGGGCGGGCCCCTATCGGCCTCCAGCGAGGCAGGAAGGAGGCGGCGGCGGCAGCGAAGGGGTTAAGGTGAAGGGCTCCGAGGCCGCGGCCGAACCTTGGGCCGCCGCCAGCGCAGGTTGTTTTGACCACGGAGGAACAGTCGCCGTCTCCTTTTGTTCTCGGGGCTCCTTGAGGGCCGCCGGCCGCCCGCCCTGGGGCCCCGCCCTTCCGCGGCCGCCCCCCGCGGCCCGCACCCTGGAGGGAGGACGCGGGGCTCGGCCTGGACGCCTACAGGCCCCTCCCGACGCCCCCTCCTCTCCTCCAGCAGCCCCCTGGGCCGCGGCCAGCTGTTGGGGAGGTGGGCGCCGGCCGGCCACAGCTGCCGCCTCACAGCGGGGCCCGGGGGCTGGGACCGGTGCCAGGGCGTCCTGGGAACGGCGGCGTCCCCGCCGCTGCTCTCGGTAGCCCACCCCGTCCGGCCCCCCGACTCGCTCACTCACCCCACGCATGCACAGTCTTGGCCGGAGGCGATGCTGCGCTGCGGCGGGCGGGCGCGCAGAGAGACGGGCACGCACTACTGCGGCCAGGTCGCGCGCCCGCAGCCGCCACGCCCGTGCACACGCGGGGCACACGGCGCGCGCACCGCACACACGCACGCAAGGCCCCCCGCACATGAGGCCTGAGCACACGTACGCGCACACCCATGCACGCACAGCCTAGCGCCAAATGCCCACCCCTGCGCCACAGGTGGGCCCATGGTGCGTCCTGGGTGCTATGAGGGAGGGGAAACAGGGACCCTCCCATAAGTCCTGGCTCCACAGCACCCACTATGTTTTGCCTGGTAAGGTCAGCTTCACACCCTTCAAGCATTACTCTTCTGCGACTGCTCTTTTTCAACCACTACCATGTGGCTGAGAATGTGCTGATGTGCTTGGGGGCCACTGTCATCTCCAGAGCATTTCTCCCTTCAAATAAGCCCTTCTTTGAGCCTTCAAGACAAGAGGACCCTAAGCCACTGAGCACCCCCTCTCCCCCAACTGTTCTGTCCTCTTTGCTGATCCCAGCATGCTCTGACAGCTGCGCAGGGCTTTCCCAGGCCTGCCCTTGCCATTCCCAGCTTCATCCAGCACCTCCTCCTCCTTTCCCATAGCACCATGGGCATGTGTGTTTCGGGGGAGGCTATGACACAGAAGCTGGTGCCTGTCTTCTCTCTTTAATCATAGCATCCTTGAACACATGGCGCTTAGGAACCCATAGTTGTGAGATGCTTTGCAGTATACAAAGCACTTTCCTGCTAAGCCTGAGCAAGGCTCAAGGCAGCTCTGAGAGAAGAGACCTAAAGGGAAAACCTATGGACATGGGGGCCAGTTCAGGAAGGGGGACTCCGGGAGGGCGTGGTGATGGAGGTGGGCTTGGGCTGGCCAAGTCCCAAACATGCATGGACTGAGCCTCAGGTGGAGGCCTCAGCTACTGGGAGGGAGTGTTGGGAGGGCGGAGGCAGGGCCTGGCTGGGGGTCGGCTGAGGCCTGTGAAGTCCCATCTCCATCAGCTGAGCTGGCTTCTGGGGAGAGTGACTCCCACGGTCATGTGATGCCTCCGGCCTCAGCATCCTTCTGCTGGGAAAGAGTGAAGGGGCCCACAGCCCTTCACTACCCAGCTTCCATCTGGTCTGCTAATGCGTTAGGTGGTGGGAGACCAACTTGCTGGAACCTCCAAGCCCTAGACTCCAGGGCCTAGAGTATCTGCAAGGTTAGGATGAAACAGAACTTGGAGACTCTGGTGCAAGACCTAGTGTGTGTGTGTGAGATTGAGAGAGAGAGAGAGTTTGAAATTTAGCAGGATTGGTAAAGGGGTGTTTGCCATGTGCCTCATAAGCCCCCTCAAAGTCTTCCTTCACCTCCCACCTCATTGAAATGGACAACTCTTTTCATTTTCTGATTTATTTAGTTGTTTATTATTTGTTTTTCCTCACTGGAGTATAAACTCCACTAGAAGCTTTTTTCCTAGTAACCACTGTCTCCCATGCTTAGAATGGTGCCTGGCCTATGATGGATAATCTATAAATATTTGTGGAAAGGACAATGAATCCTGGGAGAGGGGGGGACCAGATATGTGTCCAGTGCTTGCTAAGTGCTTTATAAACACTGACTCATGTCGTCCTTACCCCAGGGCGGCCCAGCATGGCCACTGCCCTCCACAAGGCATTCTCATTTGAGCCTCCAACCCCTATCTTGAGAGACAAGCTCGTCTTATTTTCCTTGTCTTGGGACTTGGACTGCCAGGATTGGACAGGACAGAGGGGAAGAAACAGGAGGAAAATCAGACTGCGAAGGTTCTTGTATCTTGAGCTGGGCCTCAGTTTCCGCCCCTTAAAAATATGAGAAGATTGGATCAGCTTAGTGTTCCTCAAGAGCAGCCAGTTACCAGACCTCTTGAAAATGCAGAGTCCTGGGCCCCACCCTGTGCTGAAGTTGGGACAGAGGAGGGGTGGGGGGCAGTGATTGCCATGGCTCCTCTCTTTCTGCTCGAGCAGTGTTTCTGCTCTAGGGAGAGGAGGGGAGCCCACTGGGAGGCTGGACTCACATTAAGGAGGGGTGGAATCATGGGAGGGTCCCAGGAGCAATAGGGAAGGGAAATGGTAGGTGGGAAGACTCCTTCTAAATGGCTTCTGTGGTCTGCCCAGAGGAGGCTTCTTCAAAGGGCTTGGCTTTGGCATTGAATCTAAATTAGGCCTGAGACTCCCAGGCAGGCAGGCAGTCGCTCAGCGGCCTGGTAGGCTTCTCCCTGTGCCAGCTGCAGACAACGCCCCTGGTTGCTTGGGCCGAGCCGTGTCTTCTCTCTCAGCTGAAGGGCAGGAGGGCTGGTGAGAGTGTATCTGTGTGTGTGCTGGGGCCCAGGTGGAGGGTGGGGTCCGAGCCCCTTTGATCTGCCAGCCTGGTTGGGAGCAGGTAATTCATCTAGCCTCACGCTAGCTGGTGCCCTTCCTACCTTCTGCAGCTGGTGTTGGGGGTGGGGTGGGGTGGGGAGGAGGCTGTTTGCCTTCGCCCCATGGCTGGCTGTGCCCCAGCTGCCTTCTTGCCACGCCCTCACCCTGACAAGAACCCCAGGCCTGAGATCTGGGGCAGCTTCCTCAGGGTGCCCAACCTCCTTTCCCAGCTCCGAGGAGAGCTGCCCACCTAAGGAGGCTTCTGGAACCTGCGCCCAGGAAAACCCTCACTCTGTGCTCACCCTCCCACCTCAAGAGGAGCCTCTGGCCCCAGCAGGTGCTCAGGCAAGTCTATCCCCAGGGCATTGCATCCTGGAGCTGACCACAGACTGAATCTCACCACCCTTCACCTACCCACAGCCCTGGAAGGGACCCACCACCCACACAGCCCCAGGCATCGTGGGCCGAGGGTGCCATTTTCGGTGGCCCCGCACAGGGGATGTGCAAAGCCACACTCTTCCATGTGTAGGCAGCTCTCCACCCACGCATTGTCATCCTCAAAAATACCCTGCACTGCTGGCCCTGGGCATGTACGCTGCTCACTGCTGTCCTCAGAGGAGCCACACTGAAGGATGACCACAGCGACAACCCATTAAGTACCCATTACTGGCTGGCTGCTCTGCTTGGTGTAATTAAGCCTCCCAATAACCCTGGTGAGGTATTATTAGCCCCATTTAAAAGAGAAAGAAGCTGAGATTTTAGGTTGTTCCAAGACGTATTCCAAGAATCCAGGTTTCCTTGGCCGCTGACGCGTTGGCTCTTTCCTCTGCGCCGGTCGCTTAGCCTCCGGACGGCTGGCCCTCTGGCCACAGTTCTTGACTGTGGGTGCTGCCCTGTGCACAGCACGATGTTTCGCAGCATCCCTGGCCTCCACCTACTAGGTGCCAGTAGCACCCCTGTAGTTGTAGTGTCCGCCGGGGGCCACTTGCCCGTGGTGGAGAAGCCCTGCTCTATGACCTCCACGGGGGAAGAGGGACACGAACTGAAGATAGTGCCAAGGAGCCCCATGGTGGGCAGGGAGAAGGAGGGGCCGGCTCTGCTACTTACCAATCTTGTTGACCTGCAGCCATTTACTTAATTTTCTAAGCCTCAGTGTCCTCATCCGGAAGATGGGGATTGGTGGTACAGCATTTACTCTGGCTGAGAGTCAGCACTTAGTAAAAGTTAGCTGTGGTGCAGTGATCAAATCCAGGGGCTCTTACTGAGCTCTGGGTACCCAGGGGCCAAATTAATAGAAGCATGTGTGGGAATGACCTCTGCTTAGATAAAGTGGGCTCTGTAGGAGGCAATTTGCGTGGGGGTAGGGAGACTGTCCCAGGTGGTCCTCCTGGTGGAGGAGGTGGGAGAATTATACAGGAGAGAATCCCAGGTGGAAGGGGAGAGTCCTTCATGCTTTTTAGTGGTATTTATTGAGCACCTATCATGTGCTTCTCCCCAGTCTCCATCCTGGGCTCCTCCTCATGCAGTCTGGGAGGGGTTCTGGGTTTGTTTCCGTATGATGTCATCTCTTTTGCGTCGTAGGCTGGGTCCAGGGCATCTGCTGGGTCTGATTGGGGTCTGCCTCCTCTGCCATCGCTGGCAGCTTCCGCCAGCTCTCCAGTGGGCAAGGAGGTCTTGGCACGAGTGTCACATGCCATTTGGTACTGGGCCTTTGGGCCCCTCTCCTGGGGGTTAATTAAGTCATTACTCCACAAACAGCCTGGGAGACCTGCTGGGCACTTCCACCAGCATATTCCTGCTGTCTCTCCTGCCACCCCTGGGCAGAATTAGAATCAAATGAAATGTCTTCAACTCCCTTGATTCACAGGTCCGAGCCAGGTGCAGAGAGGGGCAGTGGCTAATGGCAGTAGCAGGTGGACTCCAGCTCTCTGGACCGCCGGTTCTGGGGGTGACAGAACGCTCTGGGAAGTGGCCTGCCTTGGTCCTAACTAGAGACCCGCCACCTACCTTCCAGTCTTGGGTTGGGTTCTGTGTCCACATTCGGAGACCACCAAAGGTGTGGTCTCTCTCCTGGGATTGGAGGAGGCAGCGCAGGTGGCGATGGGGGAGGACAGCAAGGGGCCGCTAAGCCAACGCTGCTCGTCTCACACATGCAGTCCCTGGCCACCTGGCTGCCCAGTTATGGACCCTGAAGAAGGGACCCCGATTTCCAGCCACACTTACTGCTACGCCCCCAGCCGCTCCTCCCTTAACCCCCTGGCAGCCCTGGACACCAGACAGGATGATAAGCTCCACCTTCAAACGAAACTGAGCGCAGGGGTTTCAGGAATTTGCTTTAAAAGCGGTTATGCCCACAAGGTCGACTCGGGTGCCACAGCTGGACATGGTGGAACCCCTGGCGGCCAGATGCCGTGATAAGGGTCCAGGAAATGAGCTTTGTGGGGAGGCTAGAAACTGATCGGTCACCAGGCTCCTACCCGAGCTTTTGGGGAGAACTTCCTGGGCTGGCCACGAGGTGAGAGGACCGCCCCTGTCCTGTGAGAGGGGGCTCCTGTGCTAAGCCTCCCGGAACGTGAGTCCTGGGAGTGTTCAGTGAACCAACTAGAACAGGGGCTCCTCCCTTCTTAATTCAGGGAAACTGAGGCACAGAGTAAGTCCAGTCAGCTGATAGCCTCCCAGGGCCCCTTCCACGAGACTGCGCCATCCTGTGTTTATGCGTGCACGTGTGTGTGTTCACAGGGGCGTGAGTTTGAATGTGCGGCAGCGTCTCACGCACTTCCTTTGCCCCGAGGCGGTGGGTGTCCCGATTGTGCTTCTCAGACTGTCATCTACCCTCACCTTCTCAAGGCCTCTGGCGTCAGCCCTGCGGGTCTCCCTGGATCGTGGGGGACGTGGCCGCGTCCTTCCTATCGGGCTCCTCTCATGTCATTGTGGGACCTGCGGTTTCCCTGGAGGAAGCCCGGCTCCGAGTGGGGCCTGTTAAAGTGCTTATTAAGTTTCAAGTGTTTTTGGTAACAGGCCAGAGGGGCTCTAAAAATAGGGTTTAGTTGGGCATGGGGCACGGGTAAGCTTTCAGGCTTCCTGGCCGCGTCGGAGGATTCCCTTCTCTCCTGTTAGAGTGAGAGCTGAATAAATACCGTTAGTGCTTGCGGCCTCCTGAGACCAGCAGCTCTGTGAACATTTCTCAAACACCTCGCGTGCCCAGGAGGCTGGAAGTACAGGCTCCGCCGTCAGAAAGACTGGGGTTTGAATGCAGGTTCTGCTGATAATCAGGTTAGGACTCAGACGAAGGGTGTTGACTCTTTGAGCCTCTGTTTTCTCATCTGTAAAATGGGGATAATTAGATCTTCCACGACAAATGCTGGCTGTCATTAGCTGTCAGGTGTGGAGGAGAAGCAGAACGAGATCGTGGAGGCTCCCAGAACCTGGAGTGTGATGGGGAGAGGATGTACACAATCACATCCAGAGGAAGCTGGGGTTTCTATCTGGGGGCAGGAGTGAGGCACCTGAGCTGGGTCTCAGAGGTGTTGGCGGGTTCTGGCCCCCAGGACTTTGTGCTCCTCATTGTCAGGCCTGGAATCTGCTTCCTGCCCACCCCCAGCCTGGCTGTCCATCTGTTGGTGGCCGAGGAGCCCTGCAGGAACTTCCCATAGGAGAGGGTGTCTGTGTTGGGGGCAGGAGGGCTACAGCTGGGAAGCCCTAACTCCCGGCTCACTTACTCCTATGGTGTCTGCCTGCAGGGGGACCCCATTCCTGAGGAGCTCTACGAGATGCTGAGTGACCACTCGATCCGCTCCTTTGATGACCTCCAGCGCCTGCTGCACGGAGACTCCGTAGGTAAATTGAATCCTCACCCACTGCTTGGGGTGGCCACCGAGTCCCTGGGAGCCGGGAGGGCAGGGCAAGGGTTGTCTCTTCTTCCTTGACATCCGGAGAACCCACGGCCTGTGGCAGCCCAGGGCTTGGCCACACCTGTCTGGGGCAGGGCTGAGTTGGCAGACGGGTTGCTACCTGGGACATGGGGCGTGGCAGGAGAAGCACCCGCATGTGACTCTGGCTTGGTGCAGAGGGTGGGGCGCCCGGAGGGGGCGGGCAGAGGAAAGGTGCCCAGGGCATCTGCCCAATGAGTATCCAGGTGTGGACTCAGCCAGGAGGGTGGTGCTGGAGGAACCGTCTCCCTGCCCCTCTGGCCCAGGGCCCACTCCGCAAGGTCTCCTGGGGACACCTGGCCCAGACCAGCGGGCTGCCATGCCCGTGCCCAAGAGTGCGCTCATCGAATGGGCACGTGCTTGGTGGCACACACGTGGCGGGGCTGGCGGTCTGGGTGGGGAATGTATTTATAAACGCTGTCTTCAGAGCAAATTCCATTCTATTCTAACCTCTGGCCTGCTCCCTGGAGCCCTGGTCATCACCCCCCCTGCACCCCCAGCTCTCCTTCCCTCTGGGGTTTTGTCTCTTTGTCACTTTGTAATCCTTGCCCAGACTGCTATCTACGGGGGACAGCATTTCCTGCCTTTGTTTCCTCTCCCCGTTGGGCCCCTGGCTCCCTCTCAAAAGCATTCCCGGGCCCTTTCAAACCTGCCTGTGCTGGGGGCTGGTGAGGCAGGCGGGAGGGGGCCCCAGCTGGGCCCACCTATTGTTCACCAGGCCCCCCACCCGCCGTCTCCCACACCCCCACCCCATGCCCAACTGGCCAGCCCTGGCCAACACAATGGGGCAACTTCCAAATTTAGCCTTTCTGCTGTTTCTTTCCAAGGGCCTGCGCCCCCACCCTTGGACAGCCCCTCCACACCCCGGGTGGGGGTCGGGATCAGGGCGACGAGGTTTTCAATAGCAGGCCTGTTTCGAGGCAACCATGTGGCTATTTTTTCCTAATCAACTTAACCTTTCCACAAAGCACATCTTTTCCCCATCTCCTCCCCACCAGGGACATTCCAGAGATGGCAGAGAGAAAGGAAGGGAGCGAGAGGCGCAGACAAACGCGCTGACGTGGGACAGTAGGCTAGACGGAAATGCGCTAGTTATGCACAGTCTCCTCCTCGCAGGGCCCCTCGGGAGCCTGCAGGGACGAGCAGGGCCAGGGGGACCCGGAGGCAATGTGAGCCCGAGGTGCTGGGTGGAGCGGGGCAGGAGCTGGTCCCTGACACCCCTCAGTTTATTTGCTGGCTTTCAGCCATCAGAGTGCTAGAAGAGTCTGCCCACCATTCAACATCAAGTCCGAGTCCTGCTGCCCGGCTTCTGGCTGGCTCTCCAGACGAGGGATGTCTCCAAGGAGCACGGGCGGCGCTGAGACGAGGGCTTCCCAGGCTGGGGCAGGGAGCTGTAGTTGTGACCGTAGGGATGAATGGACAGCTTAGGACAGACATGGGGCAGAAGGTCAGAGGGGAAAAGACAACGAGACACTGGGAGGTGGAGAGAGGGCGAAATCTGGACAGTCACTGAGTGAGGCTTCTGGGTCCCAGCAGCCCCGGCTCCCCACCCTCTTTGCCTTCAGCCCCCACCCCCATCTCTCTCCCTCCCTCCCTTTCTCCCGCCCAACTGGGCCATTGTCAGGGGCTCCGGAGGGGCTGTGTCCAGGGCATGCTGGTCCCCCCTGGGGATTCTGGGAATTTCTCCATTCAGCACTTCCTATGGGAACACTGGGCGGAGGGGCACTGGAAAGTGGCCTTCAGAGTTCTAGGTCTTTGCCCTGCCCTGGAGGCCAAGGAGGGTTCGCTTACAGTAGCAAAAGGGAAGGGTTATTTTTAACTCCATTGACATGGGTTCTGTCCAAAAATGTGACTGAAGAGCCCAGAGTGGGGCTGCAGCCCCACCCCCTCCTGAGCCAGTGGCCACCTGGGGTTTGCCTGGAGGGCCCCTGCTCGAGTGAGGGCCTCAGGTTTACTGGGAGCTGGAAGGGGTGTCTGTTCTCTGGAGCAGGTCGTGGGAGGGGTGAGAGGCAATCCTCTCGGGCCCTACCCTGCGGCTGGTAGTTATCAGGGTGCGTCTGACCATGCCTTCGCTTGCAGATGAAGATGGAGCTGAACTGGACCTGAATTTGACCCGGTCCCACTCTGGAGGAGAGCCAGAGAGCTTATCCCGAGGGAGAAGGAGCCTAGGTAAGAACAGGGCCACCCCAAAAGGTGGGAGCCAGGGCAGGAGCCTGCTCCAGCCTTCAAGGGCCAGTCCCGTCTGCCCCACACTTAGGACTGAGTTGAGCTGAGAGGAAATAACATCTTTGAACACCTTATATTGAGTTGGGTCATCACATTCCACCCCCTACACACACTGTTTCCTAAAAATAGTGCTTTTAAACTTATGTTTTAATTACTTCAAGCTTAGAAAGAGATCTTTTTAACCCCATTTTATAGAATTGGAAACTGGAGCCCAGAAAGGGTAAAGACGTAGGCATCGTCACACAGCTAACAAGTGGTAGGGTCGGGGTCCTTCTCAGCTGAACCCGGTGCCCTCCTGGCCGGCTGTCTGCTGTGACAAAGGGCTGTAGCCTGTGACAGCAGGCATGGAGCAAGGCTGGGACCTGCTTTCTGCTCTATTGTAGAGACCAAAGGACAATGTAGATCACTGGGTCCCATGGAAGCCTTCCCAGGGAAGGCAAGTGCCCGCCCCAAGCCCCTCCTCCTCTCTTCCCACCTGCAGTCCCCAAGATACTGTAGATAGTGGCTGAAGGACCTCCAGACAGGAGCCAGCGGCCTGGGTTCCACTCTTGCTCTTTGAATTTGAGCAGCGAACTCAGCTCTCAGAGCCTCAGTTTCTCCGTATGGAATAATGACGAGCCCCAATGACGTGGCCATGATATACAATGAATCAGGGCCACGGATCCGGCAAACCCATAAGGGTGTGAAATCACAGAGTGAAATGAGGGAGGGCTGGTGGGGGGATGCTGACATTTACAACACGCCAGCTCCCTCCGAAGGATCTCGTTGATCCTAACAATGATTCTTGGGTGTAGATCACCCCCATTTGCACTCGGGGAAACTGAGGCTTAGAGCACATCAGCAACCTGCTCAAGTCTGAGGCTGATAACGGCCAGGACTCAACACCTCCCCTGAGATGGAAGGAAGAGAGGACTGGCCAGCCATTTAGGAGGAGGGCAGTCCCAGAGGTGCCCTGCTGTGCCTTCCTGCCCGGAGAGGGCTCTAGGCGGGCCCTCCCTCCTGACAGAGGTCCCCTCTCCCTCCAGATTCCCTGACAGTGGCTGAGCCAGCCATGATTGCCGAGTGCAAGACACGCACAGAAGTGTTCAAGATCTCCCGCAACCTCATCGACCGCAGCAACGCCAACTACCTGGTGTGGCCGCCCTGCGTGGAGGTGCAGCGCTGCTCCGGCTGCTGCAACAACCACAAGGTGCAGTGCCGCCCCACCCAGGTGCAGCTGCGACACGTCCAGGTGAGCAGCCCCCACCTGCGCTCTGGCCGGGCCGCCTGCTGCGGCTTGTCCCGCACTGACCAGGCTTCCGAATGGGTTGACGGACATTCCCGGCAGGCTGCTGGGCTCTGTCCGGAGAGGGCACTCTCAGGAAGCTCTCTGGACATCTGAGGCTGCCCAAGAGTCCTCTCTGGCTGCCCAGGCTGCTGTGACCAAAAGCCACAGGCAGAGCCCAAGGAAGGCTGGCGTAGGACGTTAAGTAAAGGGTGCTGCTTCATCCTGTACAGGGATAAAATCCCAAAATGGCTCTTGAAGAGACATGCCTACAAACATACTGAAGACTCAGAATGTTCTGGGCAGCTGCTCAGATTCCCCCAACTCTCTCCCCTGCCCTGGCCTGTCAGTTTTCTTTATTTTGCAGAGAGAAAGGCTCCCTGTGTCGGTAACACCCACACATGTCCCTTTGACAAGCTGTGTCTTTAATAAGGAGGGTGAGGAGGGGGCAGAGACCCTCCAGGCCAAAGACAGTGGAAGGGGTGGGGCGATCCCGAGCCTCGAGTCCTCCCTTTTCAGGAAACGTTGGGGTGCACCCTGACTCCAGGGGTACGTCGAGGCCGTCCTGGGAGGCTCCCCAGCTCAGGCCGGGCAGAGCAGGGTCAGGGGAGCCTCAGCCGTCTTCTGATTCATGTGGAAAGGTCTCTGCACCCTCAGCTCAGCCTCACCCACCCGCCAACTCAGGCTGGGCCGAGCTGCTGGGTGGTGGACGCACCGAGGGCTCAGCAGCTGGTGAACCTCCTGCCGAATCCTCTGCTGGCTTCACCTTGCTCTTCTCCCCTTTCTCATGCCCACCTTCCATGCCAGGCCTGGGCTCCGTGCCGAGATAGGAGTGCATTCTCTACCACACCGCCCACTGTCATGGTATCTCCTGTCCCCAAAGCTTCCAGCTCTATAGATGGATACCTGACAGCTGACCTCCCCCTTCCCGCCTCCCTCCTGGATAAAGCCTCCCCCCACTTCCTTCCAGACAACCATCTCCCCGCCTCTGCCACAGCCCCTGACCTTGGCTGGCGCTCCAGGAATGAGGACACCGCAAGCCCCATGCTCGACCCGGAAATGCCTTTCTCCCTCTCTGGGGTGCCGAGGGGCTGTGGCCAAGCCGAAGGCCAGGGTGGGAGGGCTTGTTTTGATGGAAAAGCCACGAGAAGGGCAGAGGCCAAGGCCCTGCTGTTGTTTGGGCCACCGTGTCTGCCTGCTGCTCACAGCTCCGAGCTTTCGAGGAAAGCTCCCCGCGGGGGCTGCTCTCGGGTGGGCAGCGCGGCAGGCAGCTCCCTCCGCCCCTTCCCGCGTGGTCTGACAGGCACTTGGGCGGTTCTGTGCTCCAGGTGAGAAAGATTGAGATTGTGCGGAAGAAGCCAACCTTTAAGAAGGCGACAGTGACCCTGGAGGACCACCTGGCATGCAGGTGTGAGACAGTGGTTGCTGCACGACCTGTGACCCGAAACCCAGGGAGTTCTCAGGAGCAGCGAGGTAACTGTTGGTCCAGCATCTGCCTCTGATGATCAGCCCGGCAGCCCCCTTCTCCTGGGGCAGATGCCGGTGGGGGGATTGGATCAGGCATGCCCCCCCCCCCCCCCCCCCCCGGTTAAATTCATCTAAAGCTTTCCATCTCACTGAGAACAATCCAGATTCCTCCCCTGCCTGTGAGCCCTACATGAGAGCGTAGTGCCCTGTGGCCCTCTGGCCTTGCTGCCAACCAGCTCCCCTCACTCTCGCCACCCTAGTCAGCCTGGCCTTTTTGAGTGGCCAAATACATCTGTGCCGCAGGGCTTTTGCACATGCCAATCTGTCTGAAACTTACTTCTCTCAGCTCTTCACAAGCCTACGTATTCTCTCTCTTTTTTTTAATCCTCACCCAAGGATATTTTTCTATTTATCTTCAGATAGAGAGGGAGGGAAGGAGAGAGAGGGAGAGAAAAGGCGAAAGGGAGAGAAACACCAATGTGAGAGGGACACGTGGACTGGTTGTTTCCCGTACAACCCTGACCAGGGCCGGGGATGAACCGTGACCGAACATGTGCCCTTGACTGGAATCAAACCCACGACTCTTTGGTCCATGGGCCAACACTCTAACCACTGAGCCAAACCAGCCAGAGCTGTATTCTCTTCATTTTGGTCTCAGCTCAGAAAGTCACCTCCTCCTAGAGGTCTGCCCTGACTACCCAGTGCAGAGTAGCCCATCCCAGACTTGATACCACAGCCTCCTACTTTGTTGAATGAGTGCGTGAAATGGGGAGGAACCAGGGCCTGGGCAAGAGAAGACCCCATGCATGTTATCTTCAGATATTCGACACCTTGTCCCGGGGATGAAAAACAAATGAATTCTGGTGGCCTTGAGAGGGGATGAGGCCAGTGGGGCACAGCCACCAGACAGGCTGGAACTTCACTCACACCTTCTGTGAGGACAAATGAGCTCCGCGCTGGCCAGGAGCTCCCGGCTACTTCCATGCATCGTCTCCTCACCCTAGCAGGCCAGGGCTGCCGGCATCTCCACTTTAAAGACGTGGAAATTGAGGCACAGAGGGTTTACATGACTTGCCCCAAAGAACACAAAGATTTGAAACCAGGTGGTCTGGCCCAGCCTTGAGCCCTGGCCTCCCCACTGGGCTGCTTCTCCAAGTGGGAGGGCCAGGCAGTGACGGGAGGACCGGCCCAGCTCCAGAGCGGGGATCCGGTTCTGGCCCGAAGGCCATGCCTGCAAGGGGCTGGAAGGCTGGTGGGAGGAACCCCCAGGAGGGGGTCAAGCAGAGGAGACAGGAGAAAAGCGAGTGAGAGCAGCTGCCAGCCGGTCGCGGATCACGGCTCGCTCTGAACGTTGTGGCAGGGGCAGGAGCCATTTCCTTCGCTGGTCTGTGGGCTGGCGGGCCTCAGCTGGGCAGTTCTGCTGGTATCTCTTGTAGTTGCAGTTAGTCATCTGCGGGCTGCCCTGGGACAGCTGGCCTCTGTCCCTCTCCCTGTCATCCAGGGTCTCTCCTCCCCAAGTGGCCTCCAGAACAGGGTTACCAGACTTCTTGTGTGGTGGCACAGGGCTCCCCAAAGTGCAAAAGCGGGAGCTGCCAGGCCTTTTTAAGGCTTGTGCCTGGAACTGGCCCAGCACCACTCTGCCTCCTGCTATTGGTTAACAGATCCAAGTTCAGCCCAGGTTCAAGGGGCCTGGAAATAAAGGGCATATCGATGGGATAATGACTAAGAACTTGAAGCTGTAATTCCCCTCTGTGTTTGCCAGCATACTGTCATTTATTCCTTCCACCAGTTTTAGGTGGTGGGCAGTCTTATTGCCCCCATTTCACAGAGGGGGAAACTGAGGCAAGAGCAGTTCAGTAATTTTTCCCAACGGGCGTACAGCTGGTGAGCGGTGGAGTTGGGATTCAAACCCGGGAGGTCTGGCCCCTTCCCTCAGCCCAGAGACTCTGGGGAGGTCTGTGGCAGGCCTTGGTGGTGAGGGATAGACCCCTCCCCAACTGTGGTTGTCAGCCTGCTGACAAGACCTTTCTTTTTCTCAAGCAGCCAAGACGCCCCAAACTCGGGTGACCATTCGAACGGTGCGAGTCCGCAGGCCCCCCAAGGGGAAGCACAGGAAGTTCAAGCACACGCATGACAAGAAGGCACTGAAGGAGACCCTGGGAGCCTAGGGGCATCTGCAGGAGAGCGGGCAGGTAAGGGCCAGACAGGGAAACTGAGGCCCAGAACCCTGTGTTTCCTTCTCCCTGGCCTGGGGCTTAGGCTGTGGAAGGGGCTGAGGGAGAGGCAGCTTCCCATACAAATTGCAGGCCCTAAGCTTTGATCTCCTCTGCCCAGTTATCAGCTGAGTTTTCCCAGGGGGCTGGTGGGTGAGGGCTTTGGAGACCCCAGCCCTGCTGTGTCCCAGCCCCAAGCCCTGCTGGAAATCAGGGCCGACTGGTGGCCCCAGCTCCCTGCCCCCAGCAAGGGGGCACGTGCGCGCAGCACAGAACTCCTGGGCTGCCTCTGAGCCTCTGTGTCCCTCTGCTTGGCTTACAGGGTTATTTAATATGGTATTTGCTGTATCGCCCCCATGGGGTCCTTGGAGTGATAATATTGTTCCCCTCGTCCGTCTGTCTCGATGCCTGATTCGGACGGCCAATGGTGCTTCCCCAACCCCTCCACGGTCCATCCGCCCTCTGCCAGTGGGTGTCCTCTCAGTGGCCTCCAGCGTCTTGCCCGGAAACTAGAGAAGGAGAAGCTTGGAAGGAAATGAAGGATCTGGACTCCACCGAGGTCTTCTTCCCCCTCGACCCCGAGGATCTGGGATAAGAGTGCAAGAGGGACTGACGGGGAAAGGGCCTCCCTTCCCCAGGGCCTGGCCAGGCCCCCCTGAGCGCTGTGGACTGGCTCGAAGGACCCTGCCCATGGCCCTGAGGACCTCTCCGCGCGGCCTGGACCCCCAGTCGGCTCTGAGGGGAACACCCTGGGGCAGGCCAGCGTGCCTCCTACTCCTGGGGCCAGACCAGGTGGGGGAGCACAGACTGGGGAAAACCCTCCCGACAGTGTCCAGGCCCAGTCACCTCTCCCTGGTCACCTCTGCGCACCTGGCTTTCTTTCATGTTATACGTATGGAATCTTCGAAGATGTGAACTCTTCCGGGCAAGTGTGGCCTGAGCACCAGGCAGCCAAGTGCCCTCTCAGATGGGTTAGAGATGAAGTTTGCTCTGGAGGTGGGTGAAGATGGTGACCTGGGCGTCCACTGCCTCCTCCCGCTCCCCCCTTTCACTTCCTCCTGTTTCGCCTCTCTGCCTCCACCCTGCATCTCCCTCTTCTCCTGGCCCTGACGTCTGCTCCACCAAGGGGAGCACCCCTTATTGAGGTCCTGATGACCCCAGTGACTGCTCCCGAGGGCAGAAGGCCAGGGGCCAGCGCAGCAGGGGCCTGCCCATTGTACCCCAGCCCAGCCAAGACTACCCTGCAAGGGTGTGCAGGGTGCGCACTGCAGGCAGGGACCACTGCTCACGTCGGAGACACGGCCAGTTTGTATATTTATTATGACCGTTTCCTGGCAGATGGAGGTACAGTGTCTTGAGGAAGGGGCTTCTTTCCCTGACACCAATGCTCGTGTGGACGGGCTGTGCCCCTGACCCAACCCATGGCTTGGAGTGGTCGGAGTGAGCTCGTGGTGGAGGGCGGGGAGGTAACACGTTATGCATCGGGCCTCCGTTTCCCCAAGTCCTCAGCTCAAGCAGTTCCCCTTCCAGGAAGGTGTGAACAACCCAAGAGGAAGTCTCCAAGGGCGGGGCAGTCCTTGTGCCCCTGCACGCTCCCTCATCTAGACCCTTTGGGGCTCCACCTCTGGTGGCTCCTGCCAGGAAGCAGCTCCTGGGCTGGGAGTGGGGAGGAAGGGAGAGGATCCAGGTCCCCTGGGGGTGGGCTCCGAGCTCCCGCCTCCCCTCCCACCTTCCACTGCACTTTCCCCTCCCCCTCGCCCCAATCTGCTTCCTTCAGTTTGTAAAGTCGGTGATTATATTTTTGGGGGCTTTCCTTTTATTTTTTAAATGTAAAATTTATTTATATTCCGTATTTAAAGTTGTAAAAAAAAATAACCACAAAACCAAACCAAATGAATCCGCCGGAGGTCTGTCTGTTGGCATCGCGCGTGGCGATTACCCTTTCCGTGTTGGCAGGATTGCTGACAGCTTGCTGTGTGCTCCTCTCGCTCCAGGAGGCTCGGCACCCACTCATGCACACACACACGCACACATGCGTGCACACGCGCGTGGGCCTGCTGCGGGAGGCAGCCTCTGCCTGGGGCTGGGCCCGAGCCCTCCGGCCGCTCTGCGGGTCCCGGCCCTGTGCCTCTCACTGGCAGTGATCGGAGGTGGCTTCTCCGGCCTGAGAGTCTCCCTAAGAGAAGCAGACCCTCAGCATCGCGGAGTCGGACTGGCGTTGGGAGGGCTTCTCAAACTGGGAAGGCTGGAGGCGGTCCCAGAGGGGCTCTGGGATTTGGAAGGAACACAGTTGGGTCGCAGTCTGATCTTGGCTCAGCCCTCAGCCAGCTACGTGGCTTTGGGCAAGTCACAGCCCCTCTCTGGCCCAGACCTCATCTGAAACACAAGAGGATGACCAGAGACTCGTGGTCTGTAAAGCCCAGCTGAGGGTTCTGTGCCTTTTCCCTTGCCTGTGAAGACTTAGGTGCCAGCCCCTAGAAGAGGTTTTAAACGTGTCCTGGGTCCCATCTACAGGTCCACCGGGGCTGATGGGGAAACCCAGGAGGTGGGGAATCTGACTCATAAGGGTGATCTAAAACTGAAACGGTTTTGCTCCTGGAGGTAGTGAGCTCCCTGTCACTGGACGTGTGGAAGTGGAACTGGGTGACAGCTTGGCTGAGGTTAGACTGAATAGCCTTTGTGTTCTCCATGACTGAGTGGTTGGTTGATTGACTCACTCATTCATTTACTCACTCATCTTCTTGAGTCCCTAGCAGGTGACTATCTCTACCCAGGGCTTTCATAACAAAGGCTTAACTTATCCTAGGATTCTTCGCCCTGTGCTTAAGGGACTGGCGTCTGCCTGTGGTGTGGTGGGTGGCAGGTGGTTCAGTCAGAGGGGTTTATCTGAAACTCCTACCCCTGCCTGCCCAACCTTGTGTGTAGGCCGCTCGCCTCTCCACCAAACCTCCAGTGCCTCAGGGGCACCAGAGAAGGCTCCGCCGGGAGAAGGTGGGGCAGCGCCACCGGGAAATGGGTGTTGGAGGGCAGCTGGAGCGCTCAGTGTGGGCACCAGAGCCGCACTGTACCCTCTTCGGAGGCTTAGCATTTGCTTCCATTAAATTACAAAATGGGCCCTGGCTGGTTCGGCTCAGCGGTTAGAGCATCGGCCTGCGGTCCAGAGAGACCTGGGTTCGGTTCCCGCTACGGGCACGTATCGCGGTTGCAGTTTGTCCCCGGCCCTGGTTGGTCATGCGGGAGGCAGCCACTCGATGTGTCCCTTTCACATCGATGTTTCTCTCTCTCTCTCTTCCTCTTTCCCCCTCCCGCTCTATCTGAACAAAAAATGGAAAAATGTCCTTGGGTGAGGATAAAAAACAAAAACAAAAAAATCAAAATAGTGAATGTTTACCACTCATGAAGTGAAATATCTGTGATGTCCTAGTACTCACAAGGTTGTTTTAAGGAATGGAGGGGAACTTGAGCAGCCAAGCGATGGCTTAGAGAGATGAAGGTCACGCAGCTCCCGACTGGTCGGATCCCAACAGCCACGTCCTCCTCCGCGGACACAGTACCTGGCGTATTTCCACCCTGTTTTAGGGTCAGACCAGGAGCTGCAGATCCGGTACACAACCTGGGTTAGGGTCCGGATTCAGCTGCCTAGTAACTGTGTGATCCCACGACCATCAATGCTCTTCCAGACCTCAGCCTGACTTCTAGGCTGGACTGGCCCTCACCCTTCCTTCAGGCCTCCACGCAAGTGTCAACCCACCAAGGAGGCCTGCCCTGTTCAATCTTTCCAAAAGATCAGCCCCTGCCCCCCGAGACCCCTTGGTTACCCTGCGTTAGTTATCTCCACAGTACTTATCCTCACGGGCTCCCCCGACAGCTACATCTTTCCTCGTCTCCCCTTGAAAGCTCCACATAGAGTTGTTTGTTCACCCCTCTGTCTCCAGAGTCTAGAACAGTCCCTGGTACATAGCAGGTGCTCAGTAAATGCCTTTGAATGAATGAACATAAAGGTCTGTTATTGGAGCAATGAGGTGTGTCGGTCCCGTCACAGCTTCCTGGCTGATCATCACACACTATGGTGTGGCCGGAAAATTGCAGACTCTGAGGGTGTCACTAATTACAGATAAAATATTTGAGCTTCCCCACTAGCTCCTGCTTAGCACTGCATCTTCCTGGCCTGGAGGATCGCAAGGGCTGGGGTTGTGTCGAATCCGTCGTCTAAGTCTCCACAGCCATCATCTCCCTCCATGTCTACCCTTCTCCATCCACCCATGCATTCCTCTGTCCATCAGTGCATCTATCTACCCATCTACCCAGACATCCATCCTTCCATCTGTCCATCCACCCACCCACCTATCCCCTCCTTCATCTCCTCTCTATTTATCACTGTCACCATATCCCAAGCCCTGTACTTGCCACCTGATTTTATTAATTTCTGAGGAGCTGGGAGCCACAGCAGAGAGAGCACAGATTTAGCAGCCGCACATACTAGGTTCTCAGGCCAGCACGGGTCCCCCCGCCGCACGGCCCGGAGAGCTGTTGGCGGAGGCTGGAGGCACGAACTCGAGCGCTGCTCCGGCGCGTACTGCGCCCGCAGTCTAGGGTGGGGGTTGTTTTTGAACTCTCAGCACCCAGCAAACGGCTGATCACAGGATGGTGGAATGAAGATGGAAACAATGGAAAGAATGAACACGAAATCACAGAGGGATTAAAGTTCAGCTGCAGCCAGCGCATGCATTTATATTCCAGGCACCGTCTCGTTATTCTACTCAATTAACCCGGCAATCCTTTGGGGCAGATGTTCTTGTCCTTGTGTTACAGATGAGGAAACAAGGGCTCGGCGAGGCCCGGACCCCTCCCGCCCTCCCCCACTCCCCAGTGCGGGCAGTGCTCCTATAAGTGGCCACAGTCCCCTTGGGGTTTCACGGCACAGACTCTCAATGGGGCATCAGGTTCTTTCCTCCCTTAGGGAACTCTGGGTCTGTGAACTGACTGGGGTCTGGGACTGGGGAGGGACCAGGGCATGTGTCTGGGGGCTCAAGTCAGACCTCTGTTTACCAGACCTTTCTGGTTATAAAAGCCACAGGACCCTGTAGGTCACTCATCCATGTATACCCTGGGGACCTCGTGATCCATTAGCCCCCACCCATACCTGCCTGCCAAGGGCCCCTGCGCTGCCAGCGGCTCGGTTCCCCCCACAGCTGTCTCCCACGGTACACCGAGGCCTTTGGAAGGCGGTGGGGCTGTCTCGGCAAGGGGCTTGGTGCCGCTTGACGAAGAGGCGACTGTGTTCTGGGCTCTCACGGGGTGGTGGTCAGGAGTCCTGGTCGCCTGCAGTTAATCTGCACTCTGTCTCTGCGCTGCATTTGGCATTTCTGTCATCTCCACCTCAGCGGACATGGGCCACCGCCGCGTCGGGCTTCAGTGCCCCGTGCCAACCAACACACCAGCCCCGGAAACAATTAGAACCAACTCCAAATGCGGCTGGCACCCCAAAGCCAGAACTGCCGGTGGGTACATTGTGCTAATAAATTCCACTCGGTTGAGCCATTCACACATTGTCACCAGATCTTTGATAACATTAAATAGAAAAGCTCTGCCCAGATTTCGGTTTAGGTGGATAGTCAATTGTGCCCCATCCCTTTGGTGTGCCCCAGATGTGGTCTGATGACACTGAGCGGTGGTGGGGTGTGGGGGTTCACTCCAGGGACCCTGGTAAGGTAGGACCGGCCTCATCAGACAGTGAGAAGAGGCTGCTTCAGCCCGCAATGGGGGACTGGGGTTCAGGAGGTGCAGCGTCACCCCAAACCCTTCCCTGTGACTCCATGTGGACTCTGAGCTCACTCTTCCCTGCTCGACAGCCTCCCCCGCAGGGTAGAACCGGCCACAGCATCAGCTAATGGCGTCACTGATGCTCTGCAGGCTCGAGTTTTGAGTTTCGTTTCTGACTCTCTGCTTCTGTGGCTGCGGGAATGAAGAGATACTTTTAGCAAACATACAAGTCCTCCATTTCTGATCTGGGTCTTGAGCCAAGAGTTTAGGACTTAGGAGGTTGTCTTGTTTCTTCAACCGGCTGGCCTGTGAGAATCAGCAGCCGGCTCTGGGGCTCTGGGGCTCAGTCTCATTCCTCGGTCCTTCCATTCTCTCCTAAGGCTGGAGTCTCGGTCTCAAAGGTATCTTCAATGGGGTGTTCTTCATTCCAGGTGATTCCAGGCGGGGAATCTGAATTCCCATCCCCCTCTGCAGACCGTAGGGTCCCAGATCCGATCCCTCATCACATGCTGGACTTTTACTGCTTCTAGTCCGAGCAGACCAGATAGCCCACCCCAGCTTCTCCGAATGTCCTCCAGCATCTAATGCCTGGCACCAATCTCTGCGGAAGGCTACATTCTTAGTTGCAGGCATTAGCTAGGAACTCAGGTTCGCAGAAGAGGATGTTCAAAGAATAGATGTTCAGAAGGGTATTCAAAGAATGTCGGGTGACTCATGAATCAGGAGTGAGCTGGAGACCCAGACTTGTGGTGTGCAGACAGGACCGGTACTCTCAGACGGCTCGTGAAGTCAGCGCTGTGTACACCTGCGGGCTGCGGCGGCCTGTGACCAGCATGCCCCACACCCGGCACCAGCCCTGGGCACGGCAGCAGGGAGGCACTCTGCTTCTTTGTGGCACACGTTCTGTTTTTAAATCTTGAGTTGGTGTATCTGATTGGCAAGCCTGGAAGGCCCCGGGTGCCAGGGAATTAGAGAGCCGGGGTGGCTAGTATTTTTAGTTTCTATAGAGGAGAGTGGTCTACGGGTTCGGGACCAATGATGTAAGGTTCAGAGAGTGGGTGGGCAAAACAATGGGACAAAAC